GGGCTAAATGGACAAAGCGTACATTAAAATGGATCCTCTGCAAACCCAACATATCTTTAAATACTTCTAATGCCACAAGGGACAGCCAGCTCCTCTTCTAGACTAGTTAAGTTGAAAAGAGGTAGTCACTAATAACTCAGAAAAGAGGAAAACCAGGAAGATTGTAGAATGCTTATGAAAATGATGTTTTTTCTACAATTTCAGTTAAATTTAGAGTTTAAGAGAAGCTTTAAAGACTTCAGCTGAGAATAATCATGATAAACTTCTTGCTGTAAACCATGAAATATATCCTTTACTTCTCTGAAATGTGGCATAATTTACAAGAGAACTTCAGAGAAAGTTATGACATGCTTGATCCACCTGGCGGTATGCGCACACGCAAGATGCTTAGTGGGTCATTACTCTGGCCTTCCCACATGCAAATTCAGTTGCTACCAGGAACTCTAAGACAGCGATTCCAAATTTCAGATTTGTGGGATTACGGACTTTCACAATGGTTATCTTTACAAAAGCACAATCTGTAGTAAGCAAGCTGAGTTGCAGCCTTTTCCTTTACAAAGGGAATATGCTTTTACTCCAGTTATTTCCTTGCAGCACAGCTGCTTGCCCCACTGATTTCAGTGAGTAAAACAGTGTGCCTGTTTCAGCATCAAGCGATTGTTATTTTGGAAATAAATTTGAGTTGAACTCTAAAGTTTTCTTGATGAGTTAATATCCATAAGCCATTTTTCTCAAAGGTTTGCCAATTTTGTCTTTGTAGAAGACATATACATGAAGGATTTAAACAAATGTTTAAAATTGATACAGTTTTCAGCTGTACCAAAAAGTATTGATGAGTAGCTGTGCTGTGCTATCCAAAAGACTGTGAGAACCATCAGAAGTTGGCTCACAGAGCCAACACAATCTGGATACAGCTTTTTGTTCTGGAATACTCCCTCTCTTGTCACTCCTACCTAGAAGATGAGCACCTAATTGATTACTCTGCTTCACAAGTGAGACTGTTTCCAGCAGTGCTAGAATTCAAAGATGGATCATCATCATGTTACACAGATGTCATGGAATTTTATGCTGCTACAACCTACCACTGACTACAAATTATAATTATTATAGGCTCTGAAAAAGTCATCTGGAATTAAAAAAAACCCAAACATACAAGCATAGAACACAGAAAAAGCTAGAAGCATTGCTTTAACTCCAGAATATAAAGATGATTAAGCAGCAGTAAATTTTTTAGTTGCACCTGTAAAAATATGAAGACGACCTTTGAAGAAATGGCAAGTCTTCACTCAAATTTCAGATCATAGCCGCAGAGAACACAGTATATTTAGGAAGACTCATAGTGAGCAATGAAAACCTGTGTTTAAAGTTCTGTGTTGTACAGATAATGAAATCCTATAATCACAATCTACACAATGAAGGAGTAGCATTCGGCATTAGATTCTTTTTTTTTTTTAAACAACAAAGGTTATATTTGAAGACCCAAAAGGTGTTTCTGCACAAGTCTTAAAAAACATGCACTCATTTGTCCTAGAACTAAAACTTGCATTACATATGTGGTGCTTATTTTGGAAAGCAAGTCCTTCAAATATATTATAAACTAACTCAGATATCTCCTTAACACAGATTGTTACAGTTTCTCTCATTACTCATATCTGTTTCATACTTTAACAAAGTAAAATTTGTCTTGATCGGAATGCAGTAACTGTAAAACCGGTAACAGCTCCCATCTCAACATAGCTGATCAGCATAGCTATGAGAAGCAGCAGAGAAGGCATTTGCTGAAGCTCTGAAAAGAAAGGATAGTAAACATGATCTCCAAATTGCAGGCACAAACTCAAAGGGAAAAGTTTCATGGATTCTCCAACAATATACATTTGCATTAAAACCAGGATAAAAGGCATTCACAGATGTTAAAGCCAGAAGAAAAAAAGTGTTACAATTCATAATGACCTGGACAAAACAGGCCACAAAATTTCACCATAAGACCCCTTAACAAAAATACTATAGAAAAAAACTTCCATAACTTTCCTCTGAGCTAGAGTGCATCTTTCAGAAAAACGCTCAAAAATCAGGAGAGAGAGAAAAATGTTGCTTCTTCCTTGTAAATGCCAAAAGGGACTGTTGGAATGGTTCAGTCTTAACAATTGCATACTATGGATATCCCATTCATATAATAGCTTAACAAAATTTCAAACCTGTCTATTGATTAAAATGTTACTTTGTTTTTTTACAATACAATGCTAGGCTTATCCACATGCACAATAAAGGTATGACTTTCAAATTTAAAGTTTACTGAAACAATGTAAAAAGTTGTATAGACTTTCAGTATATATAGCATTAATTTTACTGAGTTTTATAATGCATGGGCATTAGTACCTTAAGACAGAATGACTATCTAAGTGGTATTTTGAACTAGCTGAACTAATCCTATTTTAAACTGGATTTCAGATAAATCACAGCAATGATTATGTACGTGCCAAAGCCAGGAGAAGACATTTTCTTGGGGGAGAGATGGATGAGAAAGGAAAAACAAAGGACAAGGAATACAAGGAGGTAAAAGAAGGAAAGATAAAGCAAAATATACTAAGCTACATGGAATAAGAGGGATGAGAGAAGAAGTGGAATAATGATGCTAAAAGGCAACACTAGAAAATATTTGCCACAATCTATTAATAAATATGTGATTAAGTAAATAAAGAATGCTTATGAAAATTACATCTCATAGTGTATTAAAATGTTTATAACTAAAAATGGCACAGAGTAAAACAGTGAATGCTATTTCTCTCACTTGGAGTGAGGACACTGTGGAAATTACATGAATATTTTCTATATCAGTCAGTTGCTGACAAATAGACTTTAGCTTATAAAGATATATCTTTATGAATTATGAACCTTTTAAAACACAGGAGTTCACCTAATTATTTAGCATAATGTACCATAGGAAGTAGGTTACCAGGAAGTTGGGTAAAAAAATGTAAAACTAAAAATACACATGAAAAATCTGAAGTTTAAAGAAACGTTCTTCGAAATCTGCCTGGATGAACGCTCAAAACTTGATTTGTAAGAGAAACATAGTTACAACATTATTCTTTCCATGAAACTTATTTCTAATATCATTGTAAGAATCTTATTCTAGATACAATAGCAAAGAGATTGATATCAGATTCAAATATTTTTCCCCCCGGAAAATATGTCCCAAGTTATTTCAGAATATGTAAGAAATATATAACTTCAGAAAACACAAAATACACCAAGACATCGCAGAAAAGTTATAAACCTGACTTTAAAATGAATGCATTGCTCATGCGTGACATAGCTACTAGAGTCATGCCAATCAGATGAGTCATTAAAACCTTTACACATTACTAAAATATATTATATAAATAACCATATACAATATAGACTACAACAAAAAGTCTACTTCAGAAACATTTTAGAAAGCATACATGCACTATATATAGCTGAGGGCTCTAAAAATTACTGATTTTCTGTGCATAGAACTGTGTGAATTCAGTCTTTTTGAGACAAGAGCTGAATTTCATCAGAAAGTTTTCAGTATTCCCCATCAAGAACATAAAAGACTAAGATGACAGCAAAGATGTCATAATTTTATGTCCAACTCTAGATACCTATTATTGTTAGAAATGAAAATTTTGCCTGTTCTGAACCTCAAAAAGGGAGAGGGGAAATGTTCATATTTCTAGAATTAAGAGAAAATATTTAAGAAGGCGGCTAATATTTTACAAATAAGTAATATTCATCCTGAATTATTAAGTCTTTAAGAGTCAATACAATCAGGTTAGTATATAGAGAACAGACGCAGCACAATAAATTAATTATACAGATATCAACTCTGTACACATGTACATAAACAGAGTTATACATTCACAAAGATGATTTCTACATCATTTCTTATCAGATCAACTTTATAAGAAAACATTTTAATCTTGAATTCATGAGCAATGATATACCTGGAACTCCATTCATAAATAATCCTGTATACAGTTGAAATCCTCTTCCTTGCCACTTTATTTGTCTATTTTTGAGACATGACAGCTCTATAAACATAACTATGTAAGAAATTTAAATGCTTTAAATGCTAAACATTAAAAAAAAAGGAACCCTGACCAGTTAGTAACATTGATTTCACAATGTGAAATGATCTACTTCAGTCTGAAACCAAAGAAGCCAAAATTATAGACCAAGAAGAAAAGCAATTGTATTAAAAGTGTTAAAACTGCAGAAGAGACAATCAATCAAATATCAAACCTACAAACTATTCTGAATAATTTCCTGTTTGTATTACTAATTTGAAATGCCAGCCCATTGTTTACCAGTTCCTTTCCTCTTTCTGCGTGCACTGGACCATAGACACGACAATATCTGAATTCTACTAAAGACAGAACCTTTTTGTAAGCTTATTGTCACACAGCCTAAAGTGTGGAGGCTTCCCAACAGAGTTGTATTTATAGTGTAAAAGAGGCAGATAGGACTTTGTAACTGCCTTCTTATTTCATCATGTCAAAACAACCCTTGGAAAAATCACATTTTATTTCCAATTAAAAATATAGAAGAATCTCAGGGCTTGTATACATAGTATTTCTGACCACTCCAGCTACACTGATCTTGTTACAGTAGTACCAGTCCCTTATACAGACACACTTAAACCAGTTCAAATCATTCATATAGCAGTTATGTTTAACTAGATAAATTACCAGATTAAACTAATGTATCTGAAGTACAGTTTAAGACTTTTTAAGTGTTCCCACATTAGGAATTTGCATTGGAGTAAACAAATCATTTCAGTTACACTGTAGCAAGATTTCCAATAAAGACAATCCCATAGACAAGTTTCACTTTGTTCCCCAAAACCACCATATAAGCAAGCATGTAAACTAACTATCAAATGTTTGTGTTTAATTTCTAACCACAGGAGTAGCAAATCTAAAAGAACAGGAGTGTACAAAATATAATGCAATTAACATTTTAAAAAATCTTACCTTTATTAGATTTGGATGACTTGTTCTTGTTAGGTTTAAAACAAGAGCCCCTTGATTTATCTTCTCTATCCTTAATAAATTTCTGCACATCATCCAATGAAAGCTTCTGAAGGACAACTACAGGTTTAGCTCCTTTATTTAGATCTTCAACTAGCCCAATCTTCTCTACTTTGTCCTTCGGTTCACCTTTAAATTCAGTTTTCCTTGACTCCTGAGTGACACTGCCATCTTTATCACGCTTGATTTTTGGAATGACAAAATGTTTCAATGCGCCAGATCTTGCCCCCAACAAATAACTGGGAAACTCTGCTTTACTGTCAGCATGTGCTTTATTACTATCTACTTTACTCTTATTACCATCTGTCCTTCGTTCATCCTTGCTGTTGGGTGATTTAAAACCAGGTTTATCAGGTCTTGATTTACTAGAATCTCCTTTACCTTCTGGTTTAATGCGAGGGCTGTCAGGTCTTGATTTCTGATCCCCAGAAGAAAACCTTTCCCTTGATTCACCAGACTCATGTCTATATTTCCTTTCAAATTTCTCAATTTTTGAACCATCAGATTTAATATCATGCTTAGAATCATGTTCATTTTTGTTTGAGGATCTCAAATATTCAGGCCTTCTAATCTTGGATGGATCTCCTCTGTATCTCTCTGACTCCTCCCTGTCCTCAGATCTTTGTTTAAGGCTATCATGGTCACGCCTTGGTGTATCAGAAACTGAATGCCCATCAGGCCTTTGTTTTGTTGGATCAGATCTACTTTCAGATTTTATCCTTGAAGGATCAGATTTTGCATCTAGTTTATGCCTAGATATTTCAATTTTCTTATCTGACAATGTTTTACTGGAGACCCTCCTGTTATCATGTCTATGTTTTGGCATTTCAGGCCTGCCTTCATTCTTCTGTTTTGGCATTTCGGTCCTCTGCCTTATTTCCTGTTTGCCATTATTTTGTTTTCCCTCATTTTGTTTCATCTCCAGTTGCCTGCTCTGGTTTTGTTTTGATTCTGTCTGTCTGTTCTCATTGTGTTTCACTTCCATTTGTCTGCTTTCATGCTTGCTTTCATGTTTAGCTTCTACCTGTTTGTTCTCATCGTGTTTACTTTCCAACCGCCTGCTTGCATTTTGCTGAAATTCCATTTGTCTGTTTTCACTTTGCTGGATATCTGTCTTTTGACCATCAAAGTCTGATGTCTTCCTAAAAATCTCGGGATGGTTTTCAGGTTTAAATTTAAGAAGTCCAACAGTGTCTTCTTGGGGAACACACACAAACCCATCATTATACTGCTTAATTTCTTCAGGTTTTTTGATGGTGTCCAAATCCTGAGTTACTGTTGCCTGAGAGTCCACTCTTCCTGCTCGCTGAAGATCAATACTAACCATCAACGCTGGCCTTGCCCCATTTCCTGCAGAACCTGTCTCCTGAGAAGCTGTTCTATTTGCTCCAGTAGCACCTCCAGCCTCCTGTGGTTTATTTTCTTGTTTTCGCTTCTTCAGAGGCTTATCTGCAAATTAAAAGAGAAAAATCACAAGTGCTATATATAAAAACAGGTAAATGTCCATGCAAAAATGTCCATTCCCCTTCACCCTCACCAATTGATTGTCCTCAGCACATATGTGCACACACAACAAAACCCACTGAATTTAAAAGCAAGAATAGAACTTCTCTAACTAATACTTTTTAATGTATTCAGACTATCATTCATCATCAGTCTACCACGTGCCAATTAATCACTAAAAAACCACCCTCAAAACATATGAAATCAAAGTCCCTGTAAAATTCCCAAGAGAACGATCTAATAAAGCAGCTGCAATACATAATGACCAAACAAAAAATTAATCACTTTACACTTGAAGCAAGTTTTGAGGAATACTACTTTAAAAGATTCTCTTCTGCAGATTCAGCCTGCTTCGTTATACATGAACTTAGCAAGGATCTGCAATGATTAAGACAGAGGTTCTCCCTACTTGGTTCAGTGCATCAGTTGGACTTCACACATATTGTAGCCAGGGAACACATGAACAATGAACAAAATTGATGAAAATAACTCCAACACTCCATGCTTCTCTTTGAAACAAGGAATATATCAAGAGTTGGAGTCTATACCATAACACATATGTATTAGGTGGGGGGCCACTACACACTTAAAAGCTTGAGTATTTTCCCTTTGCAATCATAATGCTTTTCATGGACAAAATTAAAAGATCAGTGCTAATTTTATGCAGTGTCAAGAGCTTGACACTGCAACAATCCTTTCAGTTTACACTAAAAACCCCCAAAACATTAAGAGTAGAATACAGAGAAATAAAAAGTGAGCCAACCACACACCCTGTAATTTGGTGGAATTCATAGAAATGAGAAGCACATGGAAATATCAAAAGAGTATGTCCTATTCATTTAAAATACAACCTATTTATATTACCAACGTGGTACTCTAAACTAAAATTAATTTCTGCCATGAAACTCAAAAACCATACCTGCACTAAGGCTTATAATTCTCATTTCTCAACTATCATTTTGTAATTTGTCAAAAAAAGCAATGATTTTCTCTGTAATCAGGGAATATGATTTTAAGTCTAAGTAATGATCAAACACCAGTTGGAAATTCTGTTGGAGATGTATTGTCAAAACATCTAGACCACAAATGCAATATAAGAAAAATAACTTATTTTGTGCCTAGATTTGTGGTGCCTTATCACCAGATGCAATGAGCCAGCTCTCTTTTTGGGAGCAGGGGAAGGGTAAGGAGGATGCAATCAAGGAAGAGGGAATTAAACTCAAAGGAAAAAAAAAAAAATCTCTCAAGTTGTAAACCAGAATTATAATATATGACTTCTAATTTCTTCTATACTTGTAGAAGATTCTTATTCAGAAGAATTAAAACTTTGAAGGATCATCTCCAAAATTAACATTAGAACACAGTAACAAGTAGTAACATGGTCAATTCCAGTGATGTGAACAGGTTTTTTGTCCAAAATTATGCGTAACATTTAATGGCTGGAGGACAGTAAAGACAGAGACAATAAACTCCATGCAGAAACTGGTCAACTGCAAATAAGGAACTTTGAAAAATTCAACAAAAAAAACCCTGTAGGAATACCTGCCAACTTTATGGCAGACATGTAAAACAAAATTAATTTGCCAAATTGAAGGTGCAGCTTTTTACTATGTTGATTTTTGCTTTTTCTGTACAACAACTGTTGGATTTATATGAGAGCTTATATAAACTTCCCTATACTACTTATTAAAACAAATGTATTTTTTTGAAACCTTCATGCAGTGACAAAAATTCTTTTTCTCCCTGTGACTTTGACCTCACTGAGCTTCATGGCAGGTCTTAGGAATGGCCATGAAGTAGAAGCTTCCAGACATAGATTTCAAAGATGATTTTTTTAAAAAATGTATACATTAATATACATACACACACACATATCACTACCTTATTACTCAATTAAAACTCTTCAAATTTTTAAACACGAATTGAGAAACTTATGTTCTTAGGAAAAAGTCAGTCAGCTTTTTCATTTTATCCCATAAATGTCAGCCACACTGAAAAAGTCCTGTAAAGCTCTGATGGTGGATCTAACAGTAGCCTTTAAGACATTACTGTTACCAGTTATCTGCCCCGTTTCTTTAACTGAGGTTACCACCTGTAGCAAAAGGGAACACATTCATAGTTCCACAAGTGCATTTCATTGTCCATTGCATCAATTTAAGGCACTAGTGAAGATGGTTTGCATTAACCTACCAGATTGAACAAGTCAGCTAAGAGCCAAGCAAATGTTTCCTTCTGCTACCCCTCCTATAGGAGCAAGGCAAATGGCCAGGAGTTGTGACGCCTTAAACTGCTGCAGCTGGATCAACCAACACTCACCTTTCAGAGCCCTCATGCTGAGGGCTCCAAGATTAAACAACCAAAGCAATTCAGGTAGGACTAATTTTCTCTCTTGAACTGCATCCAGCTCTGGGGTCCTCAACATAAGAAGGACATGGACCTGTTGGAGTGAGTCCAAAGGAGGGCCACGAGGATGATGCAAGGGCTGGAGCACCTCTCCTATGAGGAGAGGCTGAGAGAGTTGGGGCTGTTCAGCCTGGAGAAGAGAAGGCTCCGGGGAGACCTTATAGCAGCTTTCCAGTATCTGAAGGAGGCTTACAGAAAAGATGGGGAGGGACACTTTACCAGGGAGTGTAGCGATAGGATGAGGGGTAACAGTTTTAAACTGAAAGTGGGTAGATTTAGATTAGATATTGGGAAGAAAGTCTTTACTGTGAGAGTGATGAGGCACTGGAACAGGCTGCTCAGAGAAGTTGTGGAGGCCCCATCCCTGGAGGTGTTCAAGGCCAGGCTGGATGGGGCTTTCCTTGTTTTGGGGGGAGGTGCCCCTGCCTATGGCAGGGGGGTGTTGGAGCTACATGATCTTTAAGGTCCCTTCCGACCTAAACCATTCTATGAACTTCCAAAACTGATCAGGCTCAAAATGCTGTTCTTCATCATAATCCAAAATGTCAAATTGTAAGTTGAGAACATATAAATAGATGATCACATCACAAATTGGCATATTCCCTCTAAATACAGAACTCTTCTGATGCACCTTCTTCACTTCTCTTGACAACTGAGTACTGATGTTTTAGTAAGTTATAACTACAACCTGTTGACATCTTATCTGTGAAGAAAGGAATGCCTTCGAAGTTTTCTTTTCCTAAATGGCAAGGTGATTGCAGACGGAGTTACAGATTACTCACAGATTTCTTCATATTTCCAGTGCATCTTGATGGCGATTCTCAGAACTAGACTTGATCATTACTGTTTTGCCTCTATGAGATTTCTGGATCTAGGACGAAAAAGCTGGCCCAAGTATATGGAAATGTCAGGTTGAACTAGGGCATTAAAGGTAGGATGAGTACATAGTACCACTATCTTCATTGAGCATAATGGAAAAACTCCACTGAATGAGCACAAAAAGTTTTTAGGTCGTCATCATAGCTACAGAAATATGAAAAGTGAAAAACACCATTGGGATTTGAGTGCTTTATCAAATCTTGAATTCACTTTGAACTATATGAGAATAATCAATAAAGTATCAGAGAAGTGAGGAGAGAGTAATTAACCTCTGAAAACAGATGTCTTCAGGTCTTCTCTTTCACAATCAAATATATGCAAGTTTGCATAAATCTGCCTTGTTAAGGCATGAGTCCCAAGACCCCTTAGAGTCTTAACGAACAGATGAACTTAGGAACTTTTACAGTATCCATTCAAATATACTTCATATCCTTCAAGGCATCAGTATCCAAGTTTCGTCCACTTCATTCCATAGATAGTAGAATTTCTTTTTATTATCAGGATCTAGGACTTTGCCAAAATATCAGACTAATATTTTTCTTTCAAATCCTGCAGACCTAGGTTCAAAGATCGCCACAGTTCTGAACAGGTAGGATCACAAGCTCTTGACACCAATAAAGTGTGATCAGGATCTTTTTGCTTCACTCTTTGTAACAGTTTTTGTAATAAAAGGAATATGTAGTAAGCCACAGAAGAGCTTTCTGACTGTATTAGAGATCAGGTATCCGAGTTTCTTGTTTTCAGATTCTTTTCTTTTCAGAAACATTATTCACTCCTACCCTCCCTCCCAAGAATGTAGATACATCCAAAATGTATCTACATGTTGTTCAATTCCTTGAACAAATTTATGATAGTTCAGAGTACAGTGTGATCTCAGTTATTCTTCTATGTATGCATCCTTTTGGCTTGGCAAATCTGCATGGATGTTCTCTTTACATTGCAACATGTTCACCAAAAGGCAGTGCTTTGGTACTCCAAGGAAGATCATAAGCTACCTTATTCTAAAAAATATCAGAGATGTTCTGTCAAATTAAATGGGTCACTGTGATGCAAGAAACAAAATATTACAGGAACCACAAGTTTGAAATGGAAAAAAAAGGTTAGCTGGATTTCCAAGCGGTTATCTCTCACCTCTCCTGTTATGAACAGTATTCCTGGAGACAGGTTGTGGCCTTCATCTTTGGAAATATCTGCATGCCAAAACAATGAGTACTTTCAGATTTAGAAATTAATTAATTACTGCAGAACCTTTGTGCAAAAACACATTGCACTGGAATAACCACAGATACCTTTGAATACACTTCTGCTGAAACTGCAAGTCAATTGTGATTTGAAGAATATCCATCCTGAAAACAGATATACTTGGAAGCTGAGCAAGTATTAGGGACAGCAGCTGGATGAGAGGAGCTGTATTAAAGAAGTATCTCCATTCTTCCATTTAATATGAAATCTTTCCAGAGCAGCAGCCAGAACACGACTAGTGCTGAAGTCTCCAATGTTACTGTTTTCTTGCAAACCCGATGATTGTCTTAAGTCCCAGATTAAACTCTTTCAACAAATGAGTATAATAGAATGATAGCCTAAAATCTTCTAGAACTGCTTGCCCTAGCAAACTGAAATGGGCCTTTTGTAAATACCTGTGAAAAGGTAACAAGTCTAAATAA